GTGCGGGGCGCATGCACCCGAGTCGTGCTCGGCTCCTTGCCTGACAGCCCCATCGTGCCGCTCACGCCGCTGATTGTCACTCTCAGGTTACTCTAGTGTCAGAAACAAGGCCTCCTTGGCCTCCCGCAATCCTGACTGCCGCCCCTGCCTCGCACCCTGTTTGCACCCCACGCACCGACCCCGCCTCATCGATGCCATGCCCCAACCCCCACAGGCATCTCTGCCGTGACCAACCTCATCAAGTCTTACCAGCAGCGCACCGGGAAGCCCCAGGAGCTCGGTGAGGCTGCGGCGGCGGGGTGGGGGGTGAGGGCGGGGGCAGGGGTGGGAGGCGAATATTGAGAGCATTGGAGCGGGTGGGGTGGGCGGTGGGAGCTTGGACGGAGGGGGTTTGGACAAAACAGCTCTTTGGCTTGGAATGAGCAAAGACATTTTATTTGGGAATCCTGACGAAAGTTTGGAAATTGTCAGCTAGCAATGGGTGGGGTGAGTGCCTGGTCCTGCCCCACCTCTGTCACGGATGCTGTTGATGTGATCTGTTGTCCCCACGCCCTGTTTGACGCAGGCTACACGCGCGAGTGAGCCGCGGCAGATGACATGCCAGCTTGGCGATTAGTCAGCAGGGGCTCAGCTTGAACAGTTGCTTGCTCACATTGTTGTTGGTGCATCGAGGTTGCAACCTCGGCCAGCACATTCTTCAGGTGCTGCGGCGGAGAGGTGGCGCGACCGGCCCACACACCCTTTGTCCCAGTGCTATATCTTGCTTTGGCCTGCACGCGCTGTGTCTTGTGCCGGTACGAGTGACTGGCACTGCATGACTGCTTGCCAGCGGTGGGGCAGGAGGAGTGTCGGTCAATCTGTTGCTTTGTGCTAACGTTGTAAAGTCACGGTATGCTCAATGAAATGTTTGCAGAGAGACCTCGCTAGGCATATAGATAAAGTTGCAGCTGGGACGCTAATATCATGGTGTGACATGGCAAGCGCAGGAGAACACCAATTTAAGCAACAAATCAATCAAAATCATAAAATTGCACACACTCCAGGTTCAAATGCCAAACATACACAGAAGACCCAGTCACACAGACACACTGAAATACAACTCTATGCACGGCTGCCATTCAAAAAAGCTGCGCCGTCAACTTTGCGAGTCCTCTCCCACCAGCCGTTCATCATCACATCCGGCCGCAATGGTTTGGCACACACTCAGCTCCAGCAACCGTCTCGTCGCAAGAAGCCCGGCACGTACCAGGGTGGTCTGTGCAGCTTTCTCCAATTCCTGGCCGGCCTCCTGGCGGCGGTGTGCTCGGAACTGCCCGTGCAAGCTGCCCCGTTTCTTTCATCCATGGACACTCGAAACATCACTCTTGCTTCTTGACAAGCACTGGCTGCAGGGCGTGAAACAACAACATGGGCCGGGTAGGAAGGTGAGGAAGGGTTAAGTCCAGGTGCACATGATGAAAGAGCAGCCGCCATGCGACTGAGGCAAGGGTATGACAAGATTGACAGTGTGGTGATCACCTTACTGTGCTCAGCGGGCGGCTGCCCTTGATTACAGAGGTGGCAGCAAATTCACAGCTGCTGGTTTATGAGCTGTTGGTCGATCGCGTTGCCGTCGGTGGCGGCGGCAGCAGTGGGCTCGCCGTCCTTTTGGGACCACGGGTTGTGTGCGAGACGCAGGGCAAGGCGCGATGAACGCAGAGCGTCAATCAGAGGCAGATGCCAGTGGTGATTAATCTGTGCTTCGCCCTGTCAGCGATGCTGGCGTGCCCACAAAACGGCCCCACATTGAATTTTGAGCACACGCAGTTGCTCAAACATAAGCGCCGTGCATTTTCGTTCCCAACTGACCCGCTCCGCCGCTGCCCTTTCTGTCAAAGAATCGCCCAGCGCCCACCTTGGCGGGGTTGTTGCGCCATATCCATATGGTCAGGGCCGAGGCGTACGACACCCAGGCCAGGTAGGGGATCAGCAGGCCCAAGGCCCAGGCGCCGATCACCGGGTAGAACGTGGCGATGGTGGCGACGATCATGCCCCACATGGCTGTGGTTGCGTGGTGGTGGGGCAAGGAACAGGGCAAAGGGTGATGTTGGTCATCTGGCGGGGGGGGGGGTGGGTGTGATGGCACGGATAGACGGGCGGCTAAGCGGCGAGGAGGTATCAAGCGTTGCGCAGTGACCGGCCAGTGATGCCCGCACAGCGCTAGGCACGGCCCCTACTAAGAAGCTTGTCGCCTGCCAGCTGCGCAGAGCGCAGCTGAGCCAATGCCGCCGCCACCGTCCCTGGTGCGCCTGCAACAGAGCGCAGAGCGCACGCCACACCACCTAGGTGCCCCCAGCGCCCTGGCTGCCGCGCACCCAGAATGTCGACGGTGGCGAGGTCAAAGCGGTGCAGCGTGAAGAAGAGGGGGGTCCAGAGGAAGTTGAGCGCCAGCTGGGCGATGTACACCCCCAGGGGCACCGCCTGCTTGGCGAAGCCGCCCTGCTCATACACTAGGTATGACGCGTACCCCATGGCAGCCTGCGTGAAGTGCGGCAGGTGGGAATGAGCAGGTGATGCCCTTGAGGTTAAGAAGAGCTGATGTACCGAGAATGCGTGTCGGGACATCCACGTACGCACGTGCAGGTGTGTGTGTGTGTGTGTGTGTGTTGTGTGTGTGCGCGCGCGCGCGTGCGCGCAAGATTTGTGAGGAAGCACGGGAAACGCACTGCCATTTGTGTTGACAAGGCATTGCCATTCAGCCAGCATCAAGCGAGCAGCAGAGTGGGCGACCGCGAGTGTGAGTTGCGAAAAGCAGAGGTTCAGGGCTGACACGGCGTGAGTGCGTCCAGGGCGGGCGGCGGGTGCAACAGTGCAGAGCTGAGCAGGGCGAGGAGACACCAGCAAGCAGTGCCCCATTTGAACGCGCAACGCCTGCTGAGCCATGAAGAGGGGGACGCAACTGTGCAGCAAAGGGAGCTCACATAGAGGCAGGTCCACACGGGGCCAAACAGCCAGTTTGGGGGGTTCCACCACGGCTTCTTCAGGGTCGCGTACCACCCCTTGATCTGGCTGGCGGTGGCAAAGCCGCCTGCGGGAAGGTGGGAAGGTTGCAAGGGTGGGCGGTGGGTGGGAGGGGTGGCAGGGAGGGCGCCCAACGGACTCTGGCAGCAAGCCAAGGCGACCGGCCTCGTCAAGAGCTTGGGAGCGTTGCGTCTCTGTGTGAGGCGCTCTGTTGGCTCCAAAAGCGCCTGCTGGCGCAGCAACCATGCAGTCGTGACGGTGAGGCAGCATGCGCATGCATGCATGGGAAACGTGCGCCAAATGCGCCGCAGGCGCGCATGCAGCTCAAACAATTCCATGCGGCCCCACGTGCAAGTTGACGGCCACATGTGCGCGGGGCTGCAGAAAACAGCCATGTCCAGCGAACTGCTGCGAAAAGCATGCAACGCACCAATCATGCCGCCCAGAACGGGCACCACCAGGGCCACCGCAAGTGCTGGGGCGTCCACCATGGTGTTGGTGTGTAGATCTGCATGGGATGCGGCACGCGGTGGGCGCTTGGTGGGCGCTGGGCGGGCACGCGGCAGGTGATGGCGCGCATCAGCGACGACACACTGCGAGCCTTGCGCCTCGCATGGTTCACGCCGTTCCCACAGGGCTCGGCAGAGATGCGTGGGAACGCTTTCAGAGCATCAGAACTATCATAAACGCTTACTTGGTCGAAAAACGGCTAGTCGATGACCTCACGATGATACGGTGGTCTGAGTGAGTGATACTGTAGAAGCGATCTTGCCGTGATAGCCAGCAGCAAGGCCCTTTCAGCAATTGAGCGAGTCAGGGAGAGTTGTGCACGCAATTAGTCATACAGCGCATGAAAGCAGAATTATCCGGGCCGGTGCCCCACGGCCGCACCTGCTGTCTTGGCACCTGCAGGCTTCCGTTACTGCGGCGAGGTGGTAGCCGAGCGGGTTGGCGGGATTGTAGACCGCCCTTCGAAAGTATAAATGGGATTTGAGCAGTGGTTGCATGCCCGCGAGGCCTGTGCTGACGTGCAAGGCCTTCCTATCTGAACCTGCACCACGCAGAGCTGAAGAGCGAGAGTCCAGACCGACAGGCTGCAGCAGGCACCTTTCAGGCTGGGAACAGGAGTGGATCCTACATCTGCAGTGGTGACTGAGGTTTTGCCGCATCCCGCCTAATGGGCGACAACTCAGCAATGTTGGGGTGGGAAAGGACCCTGCTGAGCGCAAGGTCGACTGTACAGTACCACGATCCTATGAATGCATGCCGTCGTGCATGCCTGCGCAAGGCTGGCCCGATGTTGGTTCAACATACTGCGCTCCGCACCCCCCCAAGAGGAGCAGGCATGCGATTCAAAGCGTCTGTAAACAAGAATGGATCTGCGTTACAAATCAGCATGAGGCTCGAATGCGCGATTGGCTCGAAATAAATAGGCGCGAGCCAAGGGCCACGCACGCGCTCATCCCAGCGGGCCCGCGCGGCCAGATGCAGCAACACGATGATCTGCCCCGCTATCGCAGGCCGACAGCCCTGTGCTGCGCCTGAAGAGTAGAGCGCGCGCCAAGGAGTCGGCGGATCTGCACAGCTCCCAGCTGTGTTGGGGGCTAGTACGTGCAACGCACAAAGCTTGGGGCCCGGCATCGACCGGGCGGTATCATGGCGGCATAGGGCCGCAACAGCGATGGCTAGCTCGCTCCCAAAAAGCGCCGGCACCGTGATAAATGGCCAGCGCGCACGCTGCTTTTCCCGTTCCAGCTTTGAGCAACCCAATTCCCACTGCTCCTGCACGCACGCCACGCCACGGGTTCAGAGGCGAGCCGACAGCTCCTAGCCAAGCGTGGGGACGCGCCGGCACGCGCGGGACCCCTCGCGGCGCGCGGCCTGTCCGACGGCACGGCGCCGCGTCAAGCGGTGGGGCAGCGGAGCTTCTGGCGCTCCGGGGTGCACTCCTCGGTGCAGTGGCACTTGGGGTACCTGGAAAGAAGGTTGGGGCGCAGGCCGGGCAATAGCGGGCGCGAGAGGTCGGGCGGCAATGAGTGACAGGGAGACAGGGTGCATGCGCCAGCGCTCGTGAAGCTGGTTGAGCAAAAATGCTAATTGACACTAAAAATTGGTGCTATCAACAGCCCTATCCACGTGAATTGAATCCCCCCGGCCCCCTGAAAGCGGCACGCGCAAAGAGCCCCCGTGGCGCTCCAGCACCCGGCATCTCACTTGCAGGGCCCGGCCTTGCACTTGACCTTGTCCGGCGGCGAGCAGGGGCAGCCGTTGCACGCGTCGTACATCTGGTTGTCGTTCCACTTGCCCCAGATCATCGAGCCGCTGACGGTGAAGCAGCCCTTCTGGAAGAGGGGCAGGATGCGGCCGCACTTGTAGATCTTCTGGTCCTCCTTGGTCTGGATGCACTGCACGATGGGGGTGCCCTGCTTGTCGGTGCCCTCCCACGCGCAGTTGCGCTCGCGGTAGTACTTGCGCCACCTGGGGGCGGCGGCGTTTAACAGCCGGGGCGCAGGGTCAATCATCAGCAGCAGGGGCATGCGGCCCATCGCCGCCCTCGCAGGGGCTACTGCCGGCCCGGCCCTCTCGAAGCGCGTACGGGCCGCTGGCGCGCCGCTGGCACGCCGCTGGCAAGCCCCGCAGCCGGCCGAACGGGTGCGACAAAGTCCGAAACGTCAGCGCGGGCGGGCGTGGCGGCGCTCACTTCTCGCCCTCGGCCTTGTCCTTCTGGTCGACCTTGTTCTCGTCGTAGCACACGGTGCCGATGGCCAGGGCGCCCTTAGACTTATCGGTCGAGATGCACTTGAACACGCCTGGGGAAGCCGAGCCGGGAAAGGGGGGGCCGGTCAGGGGTGGGTTTGATGCACGGGCTGGGTTGGGGTGGGGGCGGGCCGGCAGTGGTTTGGGTGGTTGGTGGTTGGGTGGTGAGTGGATGGGGGGGACTCGGGGAGTGTGAACGCCCTTGTGGAGGCCGTGGGCTAGGGTGCAAGCGAGGCGGTCGGGTTCCGTGTTGAAAGACAGCCGTTTGCACGTTGGGACAAGGGCACACAGAGCCCGCGCGGCCCGTCGACACAAAGCGGTTGGGGGCCGGCGGCACCCGGGTGCCGGTGCCCGGGTGCCGCTCCGTGCTCGCGCGCCCGGCGCACACCGCGCTTGTAGCCCTGGCAGACGGTGCCCGCCTCGCACGTGCCCAGCTTGATGCTGCGGCGATCGGGGCGGGTGAGGCAGAGGCATGCCTGGGTGAGGAGGCCAGGTGGCGGCATCTTGGGGTCAAACACACTGTGCAGCCGCACATGCAGGGCCGCCATGCCGGCCATGCGGCGCGAGGGGCGGCGAGCTGATGCCTCACGTCTTCCACTGGTCCCCAAGGTCGTGGCAGACGTCGCCGTTCTTGGGGAACGGGTTATCCACGATGTCCTGCGCGTGCGCGCATGCGCACGCCGCCGCCAGCAGGAGCAGCACGGTGGTGCCGATGCGGGCCATGGTGCTGGGTTCTGCGGCCTGTAGCGAGTACCCTGTGGGCCCCTGGACGGCTAGGAGGCTACGACGAGCGCGGGTGGGCCAGAAAAGACCGCGCCTAAACGAACCGCTTCCAAGGGCAGCTGGACCTGGCCTGGAGCTGCTTTGTAGGGACAGATACTACAGTAGCTCGAATGTGGTTGTGGTTCACCCGTGAAATTGATCGAATCACCGGTCACCTGGAGCGGCTGCAGAGCTGATGAGTCGGGTGGACCCCGCGGCTTGATACCGTCTTTCCAGCCAAGAAGATTGTTTCTGGAAATAGGTGACAGTGGTTGGTCCTCACAGGTATGGCCAATCAGATGAAAAGCATTCACCATCCCGGGCGATCCGATGTGATCCCTCCACCACGCCGCCTCAGCTGGGTTTATCAATGGTCGTGGGCGTCGTGGTCACATACGTGCTATGTGGTACTGATCTTGGTCTGGCGGCACAGGGGCCGCCTGGCAACCGCCGCAACTCAGGGTCCTTTGCAGAGCAGCCTGCTCGAGCCTGCGCATCGCACACGAGAATGCGACAGCAGCTATATCAACTCAGACCATTATTGAGCACTATGTATGGGCGATAATGTATGTGTGCAAGCATGCGCAAAGCGCCTCACAGTTGGCCGGCGTGGGCTGGGCGCCAGCACGCCGCAGTCCAGCATCACGCGTCGACGAGCTCGTCTTCCACCCCATTCATCCGCCCCGCCGTCAACGGCATGGGCACTCAAAGCATACTTGCGACACAGTAGCAATGCGACAGGTGAGACGAGGCCGTGCTCCAGAATTCCACGCATCCAGCACCTATACCCCATGGATCGACTGCTTTCACCTACCATGGCTACACGCGACGCCCTCGCCTCACAGCTTGAGCCGCCACGCCAGCTGCCGCTGCCTGCTGCGCCGCCCTTAAGCTGATGCCGCCGCGATCGCCTTGCAGAAGTGTCAGCGCGTGCTTGGCGCATGCCTCCCCTTGTACCACCTGCTGCAACACCCCCACGACCTCGTCATGCTCTGCTGCCTGGCTCAACCTGAACGGACTGCATCCTGGCCCACGGGCTAAGCCGTTGGCTTCAGCCAACTTCAACTCTTGTCCCACTGCTGAGCACCGCATAGCTGCATGCTTGCGAGATAGGATGCAGCAACATCTGCCAGGCAGGCAGTTCTGAGGCCATTTGGTACAACCTGTCAGTTCCTTGCCACCATACTGCAATGCCCCAAGTTGCCACCGTACTGCAATGTCTTTGATTCAAGACGACCACGATCAAAAATCGCACACGGATGCTGGCGCAACACAGACATTGCTGCTGGCGGTACAGTGAGACATTTCTGGTGGGTTCATTGCGCTCGCGGTTGTATTCGGCATGTAGCGGGCAGCAGAGGGCAGCAAGCCCTGGTGTTGCAATTTGATGCAACTTTTCTGTGACTGGGACCCATCTGAGGGGTGGCGTGTCGTCTCTTACGAAGCCTGATGTCGTGGGCGGTCAAGCACTACCTGAGTGGTCCCCACGCGCCAACACAGGGACAGCAACATCCTTATGTCGATTGGGCCGAGATTTCAGAGACTGGAAATGGCCGGTTGTACATCGCACGTATTAAACAGGCTCAACACGTCGACTTGCTTCGATCTGATCTGTTGCTGCAGGCTGATCTTGTCACACAGCAGGACCTGTTGCAGGCAGCGTATGTGTTCTTGGTTTCCAGTTTGAAGTAGTGCGAGGCTGGCTCCGCACATGTCGCAGGAAGAGGAGGACGACCTTCTTTCTTATGGCGTCTCAGAAGAGGATGTGCAGGCATACGATGAGGACGACATCAACGATGAAGAGCAATCATACCCGGCGGAGGACGGTGTTGACGAGGTGTGGACGCGGCCGAGTGTCACCGCGGCGCGTGGACGCCGCGCTGCATTTGTGGGTTGGCGTAACCTCGCTCTAGCGAGGCCATGCGGCATGCAATATCGTGCATAATTGTAGCCTCATGGCGCTTGATTACCCCATGCAGGCCGTGGGTGAAGGCACTGGAGCCGAGGAGGGCGGCGGCGACGGCGGGGAGGGCGAGCATGGCGAGGGCGGAGGCGATGACGGCGCGGGCGGCCACAGCAATGGGCATGACACGTTTGCTGATGAGCATGGCAATGAACAGCAGCGGCAGCAGCAAGAGCCCCACCAGCAGCTGCAGCCGCGGAACGCGCAGCAGCAGCCCGGGCAGCAGTGGCAGCAGCAGCAGCAGCAGCAGCAGCGCGCGCAGCAGGGCCAGGGCCAGCAGCGGCAGCGGATGACCCAGGGGCCCGGCCGCGGGCGTGGCGGCCGGGCTCTCGGTGCCAGCGGGCGCTTCGACGGCGCTGGGCGCCCTATTATGGGGCTCGGTGGCCAGTTTGACGCCATGGGCCCTGGCGGCGGGCCGCGGCCTGGCGGCGGCATGATGGGGCCCGGCCTTGGCCAGATGCAGCAGCTACCGCCGCAGCAACAGCAACAGCAGCAGCAGCAGCAGCAGCAGCAGCAGCTGGCGCGCATGCAGGCCATGCAGGCAGGCGGCGGGGGCGCCCGCGGGCCAGGCATGTTGCTGCAGCCGCAGGGGGGCGGCGGAGGCCCCATGCTCATGGTGATGGGCCCGAACGGCATCCCCATGATGGTCCCCCAGGGGGCGCTCAATATGATGGTATCTGAGGCCGGAGCCATTGCACCAATCGTCCCGATAATGGGTGAGGCCGCAGGCCGCGTGCGCTGCCCCAGGTTGGGATGGGGCCGGCGACGAGGCGCTTGCTCTTCGGCTGCCATGCGTGACACTCGTTTGCTGACCGGCAGCTGCTGTTTGCAGACTGCTGGTGTGTTCTGTGCGCCCTGCTGCCTGCTGCTCACCGCTAACACTCGCCTCATCTTCTGCATTCTCAGGAGGCCTGCCCGGCGCCGTGCCGCAGCTAGGGGTCGGGCCCACCCCACAGCTGGGCATGGGCCCCATGCAGCAGGCGCCGCCGCAGCAGCAGCAGCATCTGACGCAGCCGCAGCCACCCCCGAGAGGCGTGCAGCCCATGGGGCCCCGCGGCGGGCAGGCGCTAGGGCCGGGCCCTCAGGCAGCGGCCTGGCAGGGCGGCGCCGGGGGTGGCGGTGGTGGCAGGGTGGCTGGCCAGGGCGGCTCCATGCGCCAGCAGCAGCAGGTGGCGATGTTGCCGGGACAGCAGCTGGCGCATCCGACGCCACAGCTTGGGATGGGCAGTGGTGGCATGCGACCGGGTCCACATGTACAGCAGCAGCAGCAGCAGCAGCAGCACCAGCAGCAGCACCAGCAGCAGCACCACCACCCGCAGCAACAGCCCCACCAGCTGCAGCAACCACAGCAGCAGCCACAGCAGCACCAGCAGCACCAGCAACACCACCAGCAGCAGCAGCAGCGGCCGCGGTCTCACGTCGACGGCGGTCGAACGCAGCCGCCAGCATGGCAGCCGCAGCAGCAGCAGCCCCACTCGCACCCGCTTCCGCGCGGCCCCCTCGGCGGCGGCGGGTTCAACGGGCAGCAACAACACCAGCAGCAGCAGTGGCAGCCGCATCAGCAGCACCAGCAGCACCTGTCCCAGGAGGAGCAGCAGCTGCGGCGGCTGCAAATGGAGGCGGGTGACGACGACGGCGGCGGCGGCTTTGGGGGCGCTGGCCCCTTACTGCTGGGCGACCTGCCGCCTGTGCGGCCCGCCCTGGGCGGAGGCGGTCGCGGCAGCTTTGGCGTGGGCGCCGCTTGGCAGGAGGGCCAGGGAGCGGTGACGGACGATGACATCACCGACGAGGACGCCCTGCTTGCAGGGCTGGATTCGTCGGCCGTCAAGGTACCGCCGGAGGCCGGGCGCCCGTCGTCGCTGTGGCGAGCAGGCAGCGCGGGCGCCGGCGCCGGTGCTGTGGGGCCCGGCGGGGCGCCGGGGCTGGGGCCCGGCGGCGGCCGGCACGTGCCGGGTGGGCGCGGGCTGGGCGGGCGGGGCGCGGGCCGGCTGTCCTGGGTGCGGCCGGGGAGCCAGCCGCAGGAGCACCCGACGGCGACGACGCCGACAGGCGCGGGCGCTGCGGCGACGCCCGGCGCCCCTCCCGCGGAGGCGGCGGCGGCGGCCCCGCTGGGTGCGGCGGCGGCGGCGGCCCCGGTGGGTGCGCCAGCCGCTGCAGCGGCGCCAGCAGCGGCCGCGGCTGCGGCCCCCGCTGATCCAGTCCTGGCGAAGCATGAGGAGATGATCAGGCATATGAGGCAGATGATCGCCATCAAGGAGAAGGAGAAGCAGGCCAGGAAAGCCAAGGCGGCAGGCGGCGCGCCCGTTGCAAAGGGCAAGCCGAAAAGCACAGCGTCGGTGGTGGGCTCGAAGCCGTCGGTCGCGCAGCCGCCCGCAGAGGAGGCTGGGCACCAGCAGGCAGAGCGCCGGCAGCAGCAGCAGGAGCAGCAGCAGCAGGAGCAGCAGCAGCAGCAGCAGCAGCAGCAGCAGCAGCAGCAGCATCAGGAGAAGCAGCAGCAGCAGCGGGAGGTTCAGCAGCACGGGGAACAGCAGCAGGACGAGCCGCAGCCGTCGCACCGCGCTCCGCCATCAACCCCCAAGCGTCGAGGAAGCGGCGAAGGCAGTGACGCGCCTGTCGCTGCTGCAGAAGCAGAAGCAGCAGCAGCAGCAGCAGCAGCGGCAGCAGCAGCAGAAGCTCCTGCCGCCCTGCATTCCGACGGGCACAATGGCGGCCCCCTGCCGAAGAAGCCGCGCACAAGCCGCAGCCCGCCTGCCGAGCACGACCGCGCGCACAACCGCGAGCGGGAGCGCGACCGCGAGCGTCACCGCGAGCGCCGTGCCAGCAAGGGCAGCGGCGGCGGACGCATCGGCAGCGGCAGCGGCGGTGAGGACCGTGATGCAAAGGCAGCGGAGGCGAAGCCAGCAATAGGGCCCGGCGACCTGCGGCACCTGCTGGAGCAGCGGAAGCGGCAGCGGCAGCAGCAAGAGCAGGCAGGGGGCCAGCAGTAGCGGTAGCATCAGCGATCGGCCACACAGCAGCCGCGGCTCCCACAGTTGCCGACTCGGCCGGCCTGCATCAGCATGCACAGTTATATCTCTGGCGTGGTAGGTGTCAGTACAACAGGGCAGCGGGAACTGCAAGTCAGGCTCGATCCCTGCTGCCGTTTCCTTTTGGTGCGCTGTGTGTAACCATCGCACAGACTCTGTCGTTCTGGGGCCCCAATCGCGAGGAGAGCATGACTGGCGGCAAGTTGGCTGTGAGCGTGCGTCGGATTACACAACAACGAAGCGGGCGAGGGAAAAGAGATGCAGGGCAGTTGCGAGCGCCGCCCGCCTGGCGAGCCAAGTGGCGGGGCTCAGTCCGACCTCGGACGCACAAGCGGCCTCCAATGATTGCAAAGATGAGCGCAGCGACAACAAGATGTGATATACACGCGGACAGAGGGGAAAAGCTGGGCCGTAGCCAGATGGATAAGCCGTGCGGGCCGCAGTCGGGCTTGGACGGGTGATCACCCAAAGCCCGAAAGGCAGCGGCGCCTCAGTCGTGCACACGGTGGGTGCACACATGCAACCTTTGACCCTCGCCGCCCTGAACTGAGGCGGACGAGGGCACAGGGGCGCGTGGCCGGGCGCGCCGCTGCAAAGACAGTGCATCCAAGCTTGAAAAGGGGGTCCCGTTGGGTGACAATCACGATCCGCACCAGGCACTCTCCCAGACGCTTCCCAGGCGCTTCGCTGCCACCGGCGTGCAAGCGCCTCGGCGCCCCGCGGAAGGCGCGCCGGTGCGTGCTTCGTGCCAGCCGCATTTGCATGCAACCGGTCGCCCCGCAAGCAAGGGTGCGGGGCGTGCCACGCCGCGAGGCGCCTGCCGTTCTGGGCCACGCCACACGTGGTGTTGGTGTTGCCTGGAGGGGCGCAGCGCGTCGCCGCCCTGGCTCAGCGGTCGATCTCCCCAAACACGACGTCCAGGGTGCCGATGACCGTCACCACGTCTGATGAAGGTTTAAGGG